AACTAACTGAATACATCTTGTAACTTGTAGCGAGATAGAATTCTGTGAGCTACATTGTTGCAGTCGCTGCGCGCTGGACAAAATCTTTGAAATTTACACTTTTGATCGTTGTCCACAGGAGTGGTCTTGCCAAAAATCATTTTTGGCTTGTACGACGCAAGAAAAAGAGAATTGGAGAACAACTAAGCTATTTTTGAAACATGTGTCCTTAACCCTTTTCATGGGCAAAAAATAAAAAAAAAGTTTTCTCCGACGGGAAATCGAGAGGACCGCTCTTAGCGAGAGCGGCACAAATTTATAAAATGCAGTTCATTTCGAGAAATAAAATATCAAAAATAAAGTGAACTAAGAAAAAAGAGTAAATAACAGCGACATCACCAAGACACCGGAGCAAACAAACAAAATGAAGACACAAGGACTGGAGCATCTAACGAATTTGTGGCTAACCTCAAATATGAATATAAAATCAAAGTGTGACAATTATTAAAAATAGAAAAAATTAAAAAAGGCTATATTACGAAACAAAGTCCAAAACGACCACATAGAAAGAATAACGGCTCACCACTTTGAGTCCCTCATGAAGTCCATCGAATACCCTTGACTCTTGCAAACAAACTTCAAATTCGCTCGGCGAAACCTTTTCAATCCAAACCAGCATTGCGTCGTATTTCCGGCCTTTCTTGGTGTGGTGCGGAGTGACGTGAACTGTAGGAGTTGTTTTGAAGACCTGAATTCAACAAAAAAAATTAAATGTCACTCGTCGCAAAATAGCATTATCTAAGAAAAAATGGTTTCTGGAGAATCTTCCAGGCCAAAAGATCGATGCAAAACTAAATTGACTAGAGTAAGGTAAATCAAGGGTCACTCTATTGAATCATTTATACATGAGGCACTTCGATTAGGAAAACTGCGCATAATCAAAAAACTAAAAAAAAAATTAACAACAACAAAAAATGGCAAAGCAGACGGCTTTTTACACAAAGCCCATTTAGATTCCCAACAAACAATTTCAATTAGCTGCAGGCATCGAGATTTGAATAAAGGGGTCATATGAAACCCAGCACTTTTAACAACTTGGTCACTGAAAACTCAAACAATCTTACATTCTTAAATGCCACCCGGTTGCACTGTGATCCTGTAGTGAATTTGCTGAACAACGTTGCACCATGTTCAGCTCCTGTCTGTGGACCTTGAAATGCAAACCAGTCGATGGTGAAGTTATCTCCTGCTCCTCGGCCCCCTTCAACAACACAGGCTTTGAAACGAACATTGCTCACTTCTTCTACCCATACAAATATAGAATCGTAGACACTGGACGATCCATTTCCACGGTTCACTGATGCGAATACGCTCACTGGTGTTCCCTTCTTAAAACTTTTGCTAAATGAAGCTTGCTGGCAAAGATAATCGTCATTTGCTTGAGTGAAGTGAATTTTTCCTCTCTCGATGACTAAAATAAATTATAGAATTCAGCTTAGTTAACCCCATGATGCCGTGTATGATAAATGTAAGGGTATTTGGAATGCATCTTCAAGGCATACAGTCGCAATGAATAATCTGAACGTAAGAACTCAAATTATACAAGCAAATTGCCAAAGGAGCATGAGAGACAAAGGGATATGAAGGAGCCGTGACAAGTAGAATTAGCCGTTTAACTTGCGATTTATCGGCTTATGCGGTGGCGCGAGTTTTAGGAACCAATCAACCAAAGCGATGAAGTAAGACAATAAAGTTCCTGTTTCCTTTCAACGTCATTAACTAACAAAAAAAATCATAATTTTTGGGGTTCCAATGCGGGCATAACGAGGTAGAGGTCACTTTTGCAGATCAAAATCCAACTTTTTGGAGCTGTTTTTTCATTACTTCACTATTTCGGAAATGTTACTTCATTTTGGAGAGATAATAAAACGTGCGCTCGGAGAGGAATGAGTGCCTCGCTCAGAGAAATGAAGAGGAAAGCTAACGAAGAAGGAGGCGATGGTTTGCAAGATATATTCGAAATTCCTTAATATTTTATAATCTGTTTTTGCAATGAACTATTCGTCTGCTTCAACCTAATTTCACAAAGTTATTCATTCCAGGAGAGATGGTTTATTATTTTTGCGAGTATCGGTTATATATTTATTGTTCAAGATACTGGGAGTTGTGCAACCATTTAGAAAAAGATGAGTATTGATCCCAAATGTCATAAATATCAAATGAGTAAGTATTTGTATCTGCATTACTTGTATTTGAAGCTACTGAGTGCCGTGTAAATTTGATAAAACTGAAATGTTGGGACTGTCGATTAGCCGGCAAACACCGTAAAAAAATTGATCTAATCTTCAGAAATAAATGTTAATTTTAAAAGGAACGATTCAGCTTTATCTGCTTCGACACTAGCTTCGCAACTTCCGATCCTTAATACTACTGAAGTTTTACAAGGGGTAAAACTGGGCGGTGAAAGATGAAAATAAAATCAACAACATTAAAAAAACTTACCATTTCCTTCGACACTGATGAGTATAAAGAAAGTTACCAGCACCAACAATAGTTGCCTCGCAGAAGGCACCATGGCTGCAATGTATAACGTCGCGTGAACGCCACTCCTTTGGAATGGAGACTTCTTCAAAAACAAATGAATTTACGATTTGGTAAAGTGATAGCATATCTCCAATAGCAAGTGCGCGCGCAAAATGGGAAGTCTTAGGATTATCTGTTTCAGCGCAATGTGGGTAGATTGCGCTTTAACGAGGTCACCAGAACAATTGAAAATAGGAATATCTACTTATTTTGATATCCAATATAAACATGAGAGGGATTCCAGCTGAGAAAAAAATTCATACGAAACACGCAAAAAGCTGTCAAGTCTTTCCAGAGGTCTTGAAAATCATCCAACTCCGATCAAGTATTCATTCATTTCATTAAAGGTACAAGGAGACATCCCGTTTCATTTTTTTACAAAAAGAAAAGGGGGAACAACTCATATCTATTGGCGTCAAACGGGATTTCTCTCTTATTCGGAGTAAAGATGTTTTCCATTTAGGGTGGTTTTGAGATGTAGTACTAAAACCGGATCATTTTGAGTGACTCAAATTCGTGCAATTCTCCGAAAGAAAATAATCCCATTCTGCACAAAAATTCAACATCGTCGCACTGCAGTCTACTAATAAAAGGCCATTTCCTTCCACAAAAACGACTTTACTACGATACTTTCCATATTTGTAAAAAGTCTCTGCGTCATACCTTACTCCCATTTTCATATCACAGTGTATTACGCAAGTGTCTTCAAGTGCGCCTAAAAAAAAGGTTTCTGAGTTTGACCCTGACGAGGAATTTTGAATGGTGCGCTATGTCTGTACAAACCAAACAAGAAATGATCGAAATGGCTGTTCCTCTCTGATGTATGCAATTGTCGCTGTTGTAGGAAAGAAGGTAAAATCCCCAAACAGCACAGAGTAAAAACTGAGAGACAAATATTGTATTTATCTCTATGTATGTGCGTTTTTTTCTGGTTCGTGACATCTCGGAAGAATAGGTAGGATTCAAACATTTGACCTTCCGATCGATACTTCGAATCTTCTATTACTGAGCTGTTATAAAATCATAACTATTAGACCATTCTAGTCGGCTAGATATTTGCCGTCGACTTGGTGCTTTTGTGAGATGGCCCGACGTGGAATGGAAGATGGCATCTTTAGTGGTTGTTATGTAACAAAGGATGATAAGTGATTGATAACAGGCCGATATATCAGCCCTTAATTGAGGTCACATTCTTGATTACAACCTCATTATTGTCGGTAATTCAGACAACAAAGAAATGTAGCGCTATAAAATAAACGTTCCCCATTTTAAATTCCAACGTATATGGAACCCTTCAAATCTATCAAAAGGACGCTGTTATTAACTTTGTAGTGTCTTATTCCGGCTCGAGGTTGACGTGTTTGCCGTGGTACTGCATTCAAAAATATTAATAATTCTGCAAGTTGATAGAAAGAAGGTTCAGGCTTGTACTTAAAGCCAAGCAAGTTTAGGAACAAAGATATTCCTCATGATATACATTTCATTCGTGACTTTAGGAACCCCGTTTAATTTTTGAAATTGAAATTAATACTTCGACAGCACGGCAATAAACGAGAAAATAAATGCAAAGATGCTTGCAATACTTTGACTAGCTCGGTCTCTTACACAGGATTAGACGAAGGAAAAGTCCCACTATTTTATGTGCACGGGCCAAGAGCAAATCTCATGTTTGTTTAAGTATACAAATTCTCAAAGGAGTCGAAAGAATATAGGTGGAGTTGATCAGGAGTTTCATTATCGTCAATCGTTCAACGGATTTGAATCAACTGATGAAAAGCCAAAATTGAAGACTTTTTGCTGATACTACTAGAATATAAACATTTATCAGACGTGATATCAAAGTCATCATGGATTGCTTTCAAAGATCCATTCATAAGTGTTTGATATGAATGACTTACGCTCAGACGAGGTCAAGAGTCAAGAAAACGGAAAAAAAGAGTAAAATTAATTAGTTTTGACAAATGCTTTTTTTTTTCTTTTACTTTAGGGAATATCATAAGTGACGCTTGCTCCAGTGGGTGGCGTAATCGCAAATTGAATGGGGCACGTGAGTTCGATATCCTGAAATCATGTTATACCTTTAAACAAAATTTGTATATAAAGAAGAAGTAATGTATCGGGGGAGGGGATAGAAGTTCAAAGACGGAGGGAAAGGGGGAGTGAAATAATAATATACGAAATAATAGAGGGGGAAGGGAGCTTGGGCACTGAGATATTTATCAGTGCGTTCAACCAAACCGATTTATTTTGTTCACAAAAAATGTTATTCCAGAATATCCTTTCATAAAATTGTCATTTCCAATGATTGTTTTGCATGCCGCGTGGTTTGCACAATATAATCTCACTGTGGTTAAACCATGTTCGCAGAGTTGCATGAGGCTATTATTTATAACTTCAGGCCGCTTTGTTCCTCTGGTCCGACAAATTTATTCACTATATATACGTTTCTCTTTTAATATATTGTAGAATTTTATTCAATGACAGGATACTAAAGTATGAATCTACACGTTTTTCTATGGATGTGACCGTTTCTCAGTAATTCACATTTAAACCCAAAATAAGAATAGTACCATAAGAAGTTTGTAATGAAAAATAATTGATTTCGACATTCGAAATGATAGCGTTCTACTAACACTTGTTTTGTTTTGAATCTTTAAAGTCCCATAGAACAGCGATTGCAAGTATAATTAACGATGGTATATGCTCTTACCATTTACTATTCGGATTTTAAATCGTAGGTTTAACCAAAGCTTTTGCCTTCAAGAATTAAGCACAGAATTCTGTGTACAAATCGAAAGGAACTGAGATATCATTGTTTTAGTGTGTGTGTTTTATGGGAGCTGTCTTCTAATTATGGCAAACAGCACTTGCATCCTCATGATGACCGCAGTTGTGATACCAACGATACCTACGGCGATACCACCCCCAGTAGTAGTAATAGTAGTAGTAGCTCCTATTCTCATACGGACAGTCCAGCAATGATTCCTCTTTACCTTCGCAGGAAATATGGTATCGATGAATAGGACCCGAGCCTTGCCCGTAAGCCGCACCACGAGGTGCGGAGGTTGCACCCTTAAAGCCCAACTCACGGCAAACGACATTGGCATCATTCAAATTCCAGGTGTGGTCACACACGGTGCCCCATTTGCCTCCCTCGTAAATTTCAACACGGCCATAGTGGTGGGATCCTCCCGCTAACCGAACAACAGATGAACCATGGGTGCACTTCACACCAGCGTCCCGTTTATGCGTGCAGTCGTGCTTCCCCCATCCTCGATGTCTGCATTCATGGAGATAGGACTCACTTCCTGAACAAGACAAGTCGTCGAGCCATATTGGTCCGCTTCCTTCGCCATGTTGAGCGCCCTTATAAACTTGTATGGCTCTTTTGTAACCAAGCTGTTTACATATTACGTTAGCATCATTCAAGTCCCAGGCATCGTCGCAGATGGTCCCCCATTTGCCATCGTAGAAAACTTCCACTCTGCCAGTTGACCGGCTGGTGCTGTTTATGCGCACGCTTCCATCGGTAATAGCTGACAATAAAGCAAGTGATATTTTGTTCTCGGGTAACAAAGTAAATAAAATTCAAGCATGAGTGCGTCAAAATTAAAATAAAATAATCCTTCGTAACTGTGCGTTTTATCGGTTTCTGTGTCTAACTGTTCTGGCATGGAAAATGCGAATTATTGACAACGTTAATAAAATTCCGCTAAAGAAATCATCACATTTACTGACTCAGTCAGCTTTAAAAACTCTCTACGGTGGCCGATTTAAATAATTAACTCGGTTTGTGAAACCAAATTATCTTGTTATACCCCACCAACGCAGCACCACAGTTTTCGTAAAAAAACCTATTACCCTTACATAATATACTGTACGTGTGTTTCTTACTCAAAACCACCCTACCTCGATAACGTGCGCGAAATCCCCCAAATTCCTTAGAGCCATCAGAAGTAAATTTCACGAGAAGTTCGTTAGATGTGCTTGTCAAAGATTGCTTGGGGAGAGTATTTCCAAACAGAGTACCAATTACGGGAGCAGATCGTGACAGGCCATCATACACGGTAACGATGTCGACTTTATCCTCGGTATCCAAACGTATAAATACAAGTTCAATATGTCCATTGGTGGTTATGTTCCACGAGCAATCCATTTTGCTTTTATAGGTTACTGAAACTCCAGGCTCATTTGACTCAATATATCCCATTGAATCGGACTGGACAACAGTCACATTTGCACAGGAGGGTATTACCGTGGCGTTCGGTGCTGTGAAATTTAAAACAATAAGCTTCTCTCCCATAACTCCAGTCTAAACTGCATCAAAATTCACTTTTCTTTTTAATCTTGTTTGTCGTGATAATGCAAAAAAATAATTTTAAAGAATACCGTATACGAATTACAGTGAAAGAAAAACTGTGTAGCTGATACAACGTGTTAAACAATTTATCACTACTGAACATTGAAAATGGCCCAACATGAAGTGTAAAATGTCACTTAAAGGAAGAAGGGAAATAAACCTTGGTGCGCTCTATACTTACCGCCACAAGTCTTTCCGGTTCCAGCCAACCCTGGAAAACATCTACATTTGTAGGTGCCAGGAATATTCTCGCAGACAGCTTGGGCATCGCACGTGAACGTTCCCAATCGACACTCATTCATATCTGTTTCCAGATGAGAAAGATAATAGCAAATTAGCTACAATGACTGTACAGTCCAATAGCGAGAACTTGCTCTTGCCAGTATAAATGGTGCCTGGTATTTACTCAGTTTTGTGTGTTTCAACAGAAAATAAGGAATGGGGCATTTAATGTAACACCATCATTTGTCAGATCTCAGCGGTATCGAATTCTGTTTATGGGTTGAAACATACGATTAACGAGTGTTCACCAAAGAGAAGCGTTCTGAGTTTGTTTACAAGGCTCTTAAGTGGTTAATTGTTGATTGAATTGAGAAAAAAGGAAGAAAGAAACGAATGAAACTCAGTGATATCTAAATTAATAACGTTAGAATACCCTTTTAACGAGAATTAAACCAACCTTCGCAGTTCTTGTTTGCATCCAAACGGAATCCTTTATTGCACTTACAGGTGTAAGAGCCTTCATTGTTGATGCAATGGGAATCATGCGGGCAGTGATAATTGAAGTCTCTACATTCATCATAATCTGCAGGGGAAGAAAAATTTTGATGACATTTTCGAAAGACAATTAAAAATATATAGCAGCCCAAACTAAAGCTAGCCAACTTAAGAGAAGATGCGTTAACCAACATCGTGCATGGAGATGATAGCTTCATGTGTAAATTATGCTTACTAAGCGATGAGCTAACTTTAACCAACAGAAAGAACGAGAAATAGACATTTACAAAGTATTGTAGAACATCCTGGAAGTTTAGAAACCAACTATTCTGGTAGAATTTCATCAAAATTACGTAATTTGATGAAGATTCTAGAAAGTTCCATGCTGTGTCATCAGAAGTTCAATTATGCGTGTCAACATGACTAAGCATTCTACAAATTTCCAGAAACTGCTCTTTACATTCCCTATCCATAACACTAAGCCGACTGTGACATGTGTACCTTCAGAAAATTTTAGGTGTGCTCATACTTCCAGAGGGTTTAAAAGGCCTGATATCCCATAGCAATAGAAATGATTGTTATCTTCACCAACCTTTCTTGCAGGTAAATCTGTGACAATCAGTACAGTTCACGTCATTCCACTCGTAATGATGGTTTTTGAGGAAGCCAAGAGTATGAACACAATCTTCATTGCCATAGTTGTTTGGTTGGCCCTTCGCCCAGTTCTTAAATTTAAATGTGCTCCCATCGCTCCACACGAACTTCCCTTCTGAGTTGATATCGGTGAGCCCTAGCCAAGAGTGCTCTCCGCCATGCAGACTCTGGACATAAACGTTTTCTTCCTGGCTGTGTATACTTGGAAGGTTAGCTCCCTGCGTGGCGCATTTTCCCTGGCTGCTGCCCCACGAATCACATGCAGCCACTTGTCTATAGCAATACCCTCTGAAATAATTCCAGTCGTCGTCGCAAATGCTTTCTATAAATTAAACGATAACACACTTTCGTTTATTGTATCCAGAGTTTCAGCATCTATTATACTTGTTCCTTTATCTAAGCAATCATTTCGAACGTAAATTTGCATAAAATAATTTGTGAGGTAAACAATAAGTAATCTGTGAAACGGGAATGAAATTTTAAGTTATAGTCCATAGATAGGGCATAAACTTTTATAAATGTATCCCTTCTCATTTCAGAATAATTTATTTTTGTTGCTGTTGTTCTATCATCGATGCATGCCATCTCTTCACCTCTCCGTCTATCCTGGCTTATTTTTCTGAACATGCAGGAAACACAACTTTATATCTAAGGTCATCAGAGGCACAAAGACACTCAGCGAACATTGGACTCTAAAATCATATTTTACTTACCTCCCATCACTGCGTATGACACATTTAGTGGGTCAAAGCGTTGTACATACAGTTCTTTGACACAGATTCGAAATCCAGAAGTAGTGATAGACTAGGAAGGGAAAAAGTTATTAAAGATACACTAAATAAAAATTCTCATACTCAAACCCCAAATAGGAGTAACGGAAATAAACAGAGAACAACCAAACAAAAATTGAAAAAGAACATAGATGCAACAAAGAAAAAGAACAAAGAAGCTTTATAAGGGTATTGGATACTTCACAACACCAAGTTAGCATCCGTGAAGCATAAAATTTCATCGGTACGTAAGTTTCCTGTAATAGTCCATAGCTTTTGAGGACCGTTAGGTTTTAAACATCATCCTTATGCGCCTAAACCAATAAGCACGAAAAAAATTGATTCTTTACGAATATCGCAGCTGTCTATTAATTAAATGAAAGATGACTAATGATTAAGACAAAATTTAGAAATAAAGTTACAAATATGAGATATAAACTATTACAAGAGTGTAGAAGCAGCGTCAACGAGGAGAAAAACAAAAACAAAGAAGGATTCCATTTTCACTTGCTTACCTCGATCCAGCTCACGATTCCATTACACTCTGCTGCAGCATTGCCTCCACTGGTAGAATGTCTGGCAGTTACCAATATTGTTGGTGGGTAGGTGTAAGCCGACTGAAGGTAACTCACATCCTTTTGATAGAAGTAATAATTGATTAATCGATTAGCCTCTTTTACTGCCTTCAGGATAGGCGATCCCAAGTGCAGATTGTCTCAGCTAGGCATATTCTTGGTTAAGAAAGCTCCCCAGCGAGGTTTGAGATAAATACACGATTAAAATTAATTGAAAATTGATTCTGTATCAATAAAAGGCTTCCAGAACGAAATATAACTTTATTTGAATTAGGGTATACATCACTCACCTTACAGAAAGCGTAGTTGTAATTTATTGATGGCAAACCAACATTCGGAAACATGACTTCGCTGCTCTCTTTAACCATCGGTCTAGGTGTTTTGCCAATTGCAAGCCAGTTCTGATCCAAAAGATAAAGAGACGAAGAATCAGTTATCGTTTTTACTTGGTATCTATCAAATTTTCTCTCTGATACCAAATTCACATTCATTAGGCATTCATTTTATTCATTTTTATTGATACTATGTAAAGTCGTGTATTTTATGAGTCAATGTTGTAAATTTAAGATTCTTAGAGATGAAAATAGAGCCGGTAATCAGCGTACCGGATTTCTGTGGAGGTTGAGAAATTTCATGAAACGACAGCGAATAAACGACACATCCAAAAATAAAGATGGCATCGAACTAGACCAAGATTGGCACGAATCGAGTGCTCTCGGTTTTCCATATGTTTTAGCCAACTTTAAATTTGAATTTGACAATTCCTACCACTGATATATCATCATGAACTCCAGCGAAGTTTTGAAGCTCCCTGAGACAAATCTGAAAAGAACTCGTGGAGACATCCTCAAGCCACACGGTGCTAGCATCGTGCCTCAGGCTTGATCTGTAATGGACAGCTGTGGTGAAGACTTGTGGTGGCTCAGAATACTTCCCCTAAGGAAAAAAAAGAAAATCCTACGGCTTAGGTCAGGTTGATTTAAAGGAGAAGAAACGAACCAAAAAAGTTATTGATTTAGCTCCAGTCTTAGCGGTTTTTAGCGTAAAGATATCTAAAGGTTTTGGGGACGGGGCAATATAAAAACAAGAAAAAGAAACATTTTAGCTATCTGGTAATAGCCACCGCGATGACCCTTAAACTGATTAAAGAAGAGGAAAGGAAGGAAAAAGAAGTGTTGTGAAATGAAAAGGGTTAACCCACGAACTATTAGCTTGATTTCAAATGTGAATACAGCAGAGAACGTACTTTTGGAAAAGAAACGGTCCGGCAAGTGGTTCCAGTCCACCAAGTTAAGAACATCTCCTCGCCTGCTACTCCTCCAGGTGGGGCTCCCTGATAGGCCATCCAGTCAATTAAAGCAAAGCTGTCCGCAGGGTAGTCATTCCTTCCAGCTCGCGTAACGCAGGCTGTGAACTGAGTAGTGTTGATGCTCTCGACCCAAGGTGTGGTGGCCTCGTGTACCAAAGTATCATCAGAATAGTTGAAGTGATTGACAGTCAGTTGTACGTAAATTTTCATATGAGGATAGAAAATGAAGGGTTTAAAATCAATCACTTCACACTGATCCTCTGCCCACGAGGGTGTGTTCTGGAACTCGTGTCTGCCTTTCTGCATCGGAAAACCTACAATCATGATGAAAACCATCTTTGATTAAGTCCAGGTAAAAGTGGCGTCTTTATTTGAAAGTTAATTTGTGGGAAGGGGAAAACTCGAGGGTCTCAAACAGGTAACCAACCGAAGTATCCAGTATGTTCTCCATGATTGCTTGGAAAGATATTTTTTTGCCAATTAGTGGTTAGAACAAGGTTACTACATAACTTTAGCAATTTAAGCAGAGATAAGGGCAAGATGATGGCTAAAAAGTAAGTCAGTTGAACTCTGCAAACCACTCATTGCGTAGTTTGCTTACCTCTGCAGCTTCCTGGATGGTAGTTGGTGTAGTTTCCACGTGTTTTACAAATCTCTTTTTTGAGGAAACACATGTTTTTGAACGTGCGACCGTTGGAAGCACAGACTTGTTCCTCGTATGATGGGCAGTTATCCTTACAGATACAATCAAATCTCCAGGGGGTATAAGCAAAGCAAAAGCTTTCGTAGGTACAGTTAACATTTCTGCACGGATCAAGGTCTGAAAACGAAAGAAATATTATAAATGATTGCTAAATTGCATTTAATAATAAGGAGTGGACGTCAAAGAAAACATGAAATAATTTTCACACTTACCCCCAATAACCAAATAGTCTATGGACACATCACTCCTTTGACTATCGTATCCTGCCCAGTCTTTCATACAAATTTGAAAATGTTTCGCGGTCACTTCCTACAACATGATAGTACAAGAGTTCCAGAAACCAAAAGACAACGAAAGGAAAACAGCAAAAACAAATGCAACAAAAAGGGAGGAAAGCACACAAAAGGAAAAGGAAATAAAGAAAAGATTTGACAAAAAAGAAAATGAGCAAGGGAAGAATGGGAAGAAAAGAAACTCACACAAAATCGAGAGAAGAAAATTACCTTAAATACACCAGGAAAGCAGAAAAATAAGGAGAATGATGTGATTAAGAAGTGGGCGACATGAGCCAAGAAACAGAAGTCACTAACTCCAATCGAACATTTGCATTACGCATCTTTTCAACCATTATGGTAGGCGAATTTATGAGTGATGTGCAAAGGATATTACATTTCAAGTTAAAGTCACCTCCATCCAGGTGATTAAAGGTTCCTTATACTTTGGGCTACAGCCATCGTGCGACTTATTTCCTTTGGCAGCATCGAAAACAGTAGTGAGAACCACAGGCGGCGTAAAAAATGGCTCGTCAAATTTGATAGTCTGTCAATAAATAAAAGAATATATAGAATTAGAGTAACTGATTTAAGTTTGAATCCTGTGAAAAAAGGCAGAGTGTTGTGTTAAGCTAATTTAGATCAAATTAACAGAAAAAAGATTATGGCCTCCGTCATTCCTGACTCTCGCAATAAGGCAGGAGTTTCTTAGACAAGAACCTACTGCGCCTATGTCACTACAATATTAACTAATAATTTTGAAGAAAGTAGACTTACCCTACAGAGAGCATACTTTTTTTGTGCTGCAGGTAACTCCTTTGATGAAAACATGATGCTTTTCGACTCTTTACACCTCCAGGAAGAAGGATAATTCTCGAAAGCCATCCAGTCCTTGAACAAGAAAAAAGGAACAATTTTCATTAAGTTTTGGCGAGCTAAACACTAAATTTTGGGCACATCCATATTAAATTGATTTGAGTACGAGCACCAAAACATCAACACAATTAAATGAGCGACAGACTGAAAAGATGATAATCATAATATTAATGCTTGAGAAAATATATGAAATTATACTGATTATAACGATGATAACAATAAATAATTTGAAATAGAGAAAACAACGGAGGAGGAACTGCATATGGATGAGCAAGGAGACACAAACCAATTTATACCTATTTGTATGCACAAATTTTGTACATCTCCGGAAAAAAATGAAAAAACAACACAGAAAAAGATAACGGTTGTACAAGTAATCACTTACCACCCTGAGTTTTTCATGAGATCCATCAAATACCCTGGATTCACGAAGGCAGACCTCAAATTCACTTGGAGAAATATTCTCGATCCAAACTAGCATGGCGTCATGCTTCTGGTCCTTGATTCTGTGCTCAACAGTGACGTGAACTTTCGGAATTGTTTTAAAGCCCTGAATAGGGAATTAAGTGTTGGAGAAACGTTACATATTATTTGTTTCTTACTTCATATGTCTAAGTCAACTCTCTACACCAATTACCCCTAATGTCTTCGAAAGATTAGGTAAAAAATATCTTACCTTTGGAAAAGTCACCCGGTTGCATTGCGATCCTGTAGTAAATCTACTAAACATTGTTTCACCTTGTTGAACTCCTGTCTGTGGACCTTGAAATGCAAACCAGTCGATAGTGAAATTATCTCCATTTCCTCGACCTCCTTCAACAACACAGGCCTTGAAACGATCGAATCTTATATCCTCCACCCATACAAAAATGGAATCGTATACACTGGACGATCCATTTCCACGGTTGACTGAAGCAAATACCCGTACGGGTATACCCTTGGTGAAACTTTTGGTAAATGTGGCATATTGGCAAAGGTAATCGTCGTCGGCTTGACTAAAGTGAATCTTTCCTCTCTGCACTCCTAAGTAGAAATTATGGTCTTAGGTTATCTAAAATAGTACTACATATCTGCGAATTAAGAATGCCTTTAGAATTTTTAGAAATGCCATACACTTCATCACGCTTAGGGGGCCGAGCTTGCTAATTATTGTTCAGAGGGTGGCTTGTTTTTTTTTACCAAAAATAGCAAATATTCTAGATGTGTAAAAAAGGTCTACTGAGAATATTTCAGGATATTTTCTTGGAGTTTTTAGTATCCGCTACGCTGTCATTAGATTATGATTTCATCGCTGTAAAAGGGGTTAGAGGCACTTGCACCTATTCACTGTAAATATTCAACAAAATTGAATTTTTTATACGTTTTTGATGTTGTCTTCCTTGGCAAGTCTCAGAAATTTTGAACGATCGTTCACCTATTTTTCCTTCAATATTGTTTCCCAGACCCCTCAACCATTTCTTTCTATGCCAACCTAATTACAGAAGTTTCTTCGTTGTAGGCTAAATAATCAAAATATTGCGATTGCATTTTTCAAGCTCATCTAGATGCGAAACTTTATTTGGTGGTGTACGGTATTCCCTTTAACAAGATTTTATGTATCACGTTGCGCTTGGGTGTGTCATTATAAAAGAATTCACGAAGCTCTGAATTTCGATTAATGCTTTACTAAATAACGCTAATGAAAGGTATATAATAGCCTGACTTGAAAAAAGTGAGAGGTAAAACTTGAAAGATTCAGAGAAACCAACCTTTTCCTTGGACGACACCAAAGATGAAGAAACAAACCAACAACAATGCTCCCTGCCTTGCAGACAGCATCATCTCTTCACTGTGTCATCGACGTGTACGCCCCTGTTGGAGTGGAGACGTCTCCAAGAGGCAAATGAATTTACGGTAGATGTAACACGACTGCGTAATCATCATTTACGTAAAGTATCTGAATCGCGTGTTTCAGCACATTATTGCATAAGATTCCTTTGACGAGGTCACTTGAACAATAGCAATTGCGACATGGTAAAATCTACTTATTCCCAATGCCATTGGCAAATAGAGCAAGAATTTTTGCCAAACAGTTAATTTTGTATTGCCCGTCGGGAATTTTGGCAGCTATTACAGCATTTCTTTTACTTTGCTAGGGGCGAAGGAAAAAATATTCTATGTCCATTTTTTTAAAACATTGCCTTATCTTGAGGAGAAGAAACACCACTGATCAAAACGTGGATTCTCCTTTCACGGGAATCACATATTTCTGATTGTGATATTCTTAGCTCCTCTTAATTCAGGCAATTTTCCAAAATCAGAAATTCAGACATGCAAAAACAACTTCATGTTCTTCTATTATGAATAAAACCTTGAAAATAATCTACAAGAAACGAAATAATATACGTGATAGAGTTTGTTAAAATAATTTTAGCTCATTACCTACACGAAAGAAGGCGAAACTTTTAACGTCAAGAATGGCTTTGTGAGAATTTTCTTTGTTCGTTGTGTTCAGCTAAAAAGAGGTCAAACTTGTTGACCCCACCTCCAGTGTTCAAAACGCGTTATGCAACTGTGGTTAGCCCCTCTAAAACAATCGTTTATTTTATCGCATTCTTGACAACATTCCTTCCATTCACGTTTCTCTCTCCCCCAAAAATGTATATCTTCTAATCTCAAATGTTAATTATACCCATTTCAATTGCATTGAGAAATGACAAAAGAAAATTGGCTTTTTGTGGAGATATGATTATAAAACAAAAAAGGATCTTTCACTTCCGTTATTAAGGAATACTCAGACTAAGAAATTCCATGTGTTTGAAACAAGTTTCAAGTTACGACCTTGCGACTAGTACTTCGAATCTTCTGCCAAAGAGGTACATCGTAAAAGGAACTCGGTCAAAATGAGTTAATGACTTCAGTATCCATATGAGACAAAAATCGGTAAATGCGCGGTAAAACACGTATGAAGTAATCCTGTATAAAACATGTGATATCGATAATGTCCCTGACGTGATGATCGGTAATGAATAGATCCACATAAAGCCAGTGTAATATTTCTTAAGTAAGGTCAAATTCTTGATTCAAATCTTTTATTTCATTAAGCTCTTTGATAACGAATAAAACATTGATCTAGCTAAGTGAATTCCATCTTAAGCAGCATTAAACATAAGGTTTAAAAAGATTTCGTCTTAAGCACTTTCAGCGGTGTGCAGCCTTTTGCACAGGAAGGAAATTAGGGCTAAAGTGAAAGCAAGATTTCGGAAAATATCAGTTTTGATTTTAAAAGTATGGAAATGAATGAAGGAATCACAGGAATATCATCAGGCAACACTCTGGGTTCCATTTACGATTTCATCTTCCAACTGAACTAAAAAATTTTTGGTTCATTTTGCGTGCTGTAAAAAACCTGTTAAACCAGTCGGCTGCGCGGGCTAAGCTTCCCAATCCACTTTGCTTTTCCCACCTTATGAGAATGAGCAGAAACACTTGGCAGAAAAAAGCAGTAAAAATACGGCTCAACTCGTAAGAATACTCAACGATACTACATACAAAAACGTCTAATAAGGTATATACGTCGAAAGGTTTTCGCTATGCTCATTAAGTAAAGATACACTAGGTAAGACATCGAAGTTGACATTGCACGAAATTCAAATTCCATTGAGAAAAAGGTAGCCAGGGATTACTTGAGCTTAAACGAGGTCAGAAATCAAGACGACAGATTTAACTTAATCTGATCAGTAGGAAAAAATTTAAATCGATAAATAAAAGCAGTAGTAAGGTACAATTTGATTTAGTTTGGAAGAATCTCCTTTAGAAATCTACTTTTGTTAAAAGAAAGCGATCTATTACTAAATTTTGTAATCTAGAGATAACTGCTCCACCGGATTCTGGCTGCGAAGGTCATTTCAGTGGCGTCACACAATCAAAACGGAATAACAAATTGTATGTTGATATCTAACTCCTGTCTCCAAGGGGATAGAAATTCAGCCCCAAGCCTGAGTGGGTGGGGATGGGGCTAAGGGAGAGGTGGTTGGGGTGCTCGAAGATCAAAATATCTTCCCTAAGTCCAATTTTTAAGCATTGAATAGGAAACGTGTGTGTCTGTGTGTGAGTGTTTGGGGAAGAGCTCTCGTTAGTAAAACAGAACATTTAACCTGTTTCCATATTATTAAAGGTGAAAGTGAAATGTGATCATCGCAGTAATATTCCATATTATTGGCTCTTTTTATTCGAAGGGGGTGGTAGCGGGAAAACCCCATTATGCTATGTTAAGTCGTTAACCAGTGTCTCTTCTATTTCATTGGCTGATTATTATAACTCTGAAGCGTTACATGCATAATAACTTTGAGTCCGAAACAACACTTACAGCAACCTTTCTTTAATTAATCGAGATATACAGGTTGGTTATGAATAAATTCACACAGACCTACACGAACAATCAACAGATTGATATATGAAAGGGTGCACACTACAAAATCTGCAATATAATGTCAAATGCTTTGACAGAATGATGATAAGTAAGCAATGGAAGCAATGATTTTACCTCTGACACCTAAAAAAAATGTCAGGCATAGTAAATGTCATAGTAACGCGTACAGAAACAATTTGATTATTATCAAAGTTATACAAATTAGGTATGATTGAATACACGAACTGAAAAAAATTGAAACGACCAGCAACTGTGCTCTAACCTAGACGACAAGGCGAAGCCTACAGTTAACATTACTTTATTCCTGCCCAACGACTTATTTCAAAGACTCTTCCTTAGATGCGAAACCAAATGAAATACTTATATATATGTAAATTAGCTTTTCTGGTTCCAAAAATATATGTAAAAACTATAAAATTTCAGTCACAACTGAAGTCAAGAAAACATGCACACTATTCTGAAAGAGGTCTGGCAACAACTCCCTCTTGATTGTCAAATTCGTCTGGCTGCACATATCAACTCGTTGTTGCCTGCACTAGACCTGTTTGGGGACTTACTACCAATTACTTTCATTTTAAGATCAACTACACTGTATTAGCTACACAATAAATATATGTTTCTAACATTTACATATTTCTTATAAATATTTCTATATTTTCATATATTCTTAGTGCATTATAGCATGGCAGGGGATCTGTTTCTTTCCGCAGTCACATCGCTGTTCTTATTTGAATTAATGTAGTACCTTTTTTGTGTTAAGAGCCTGTCCACGAGAGCGCCAGACAGTCGTGCTACATGCCATCTCACCGATTTCAATAAAACAATTATTGCTCTAGGCGGTCGCTTAACCAAATAAACCTACATTTTTTTGCTCTTTATACAAGATGACTAATGAAGAAAGGTAAAAAATATGAAAAACTTTCGATATTTTTTGTAAGAATGGAAAATTTCACGTTTAGAGAGATGCATGTAGGCGAAAAATCGATGGGAAAATCGTAGCGTTTCTTTTTTCTGTCGTTTATTAATTTGGAGATTTGCTAAAATCAAAAAATATGGCTTTGGTACGACACAAAACATTTATCAGTCTATAATTTGATTGTTTATCGTCATCATTGCTCATTTTAGGAGATTTTAAAGTCACACGCTGCATGTTAGTTGACATTATTACATGTTCCACTACGCTACAACTTCGGCTTTTACAGACGAGAAATTCAGCGCTCTCGCTTGAGAGCAAATATCAATAGTTCTATCAAACTAAAACTGTGCTTCTATCCCGAAAATAAAATTAAAACAGAGTTGTCGTTGTCACTTACCGCCATAAAACATTTCCATCCAGAACTCCGCTAAGCTAACATCTGTTGCGTGACCCAAAGACTCCGTGGGAATTATTTAAGCGCGTTGTTCACGCTGTCTGCTAGATAACAATTTCAGAATAATCTGCAGATCTCTATGATTATTTGCTTGCTTCGATCGTAAAATATCTTCATTTTTTCTCAAGCATTCTATTACTACATATAAATCTACATCTCTCTAGATCAAGTGTTACCGGCGATTAATTGCATGACTTATGAAATTTATTTATTATTATGAGTCAGCAGTAGCAGTACCTGTACCCTCTTCTGCAGTCTTCGTCTAAATTTTGCAAGGTGCCTCCTTATCTTCTGCCTTGTTCAGTCAGTTTCGACCTCTGAAGCTAGATCATCGACATCGCCCTCTTTGTCCTCATTCATATTGACCCCGTCAATAAACAAATTTTTGTTACGGCAGATAACCGGCTGAAGTATCGAGCGATTTGCTGCTCTATCAACCGGTCAGTCTTAGACAACATTCCTGGCCGATGCGTCTCTTAAACTCGATATTTGGGAAGTCACATTAGAGGCGGTTGCCTTATTTGTTTCCTCCCCTGTCCAGCACACGTCTAAGAGATAATTCTTTGCTTTCTCATATACGAATAGTAAATACAGGCGTGACATTTTTCGAACGTTACATGTACGAGTACGTGATCCGTTTGAGGATCACAGATTTAGTGTAAATATTTGACCCCTCAGCATCACGTAATTTCTCTAGTTTACAGAGGTCTTAAAACGCTTCTTTGCATGGATTTGCATTCTGCGGGTAGAAGGCTAAAAGCGAATTTCTAGGGCGTAATTGCCTTTGATTTCTCAATTGAAGTTGTCGCAAACACAGTTTTTGGGGGTCACGAAACAACAAAAACTTATCAGGACCAAGTTTCATGTTCTAATGAGAATAAATAGCAAATAAAAACATGTTCTCTTGAGAAATACAGTTATAGATAACAGATGCTCTTTAAAACAAATAGTGATAGAAAAGGTTTCTGTTCTGCTCAATTTTGACTTTTCATAGCTTACTTCCAAATCTGAGGGAACGCGTTGAGGGAATAAAAAAAACATACACGTGTGATAATTCACGGAAGAGTACATTTCAAGGTTGCTGAATGTCTCTTTTGAATAAGCAGCACGCCAGTGAAA